CACACACACACACACACACACACATACAAACAAACACACACACACATACACACACACACCCTCACATATACAGTAAACACTTTAAATTTCACAATATAAAGGAAACAAATCTTCTGCAGCTGTTCTGAGCTGGGCTGAAGAGGCCAGGTCTCAAACGTCAAAGGCAATAAAACGTCTCGTCAGCAGTTTCTTTTCGAGTTGCTGTAAATGTGAAGCAGCCGTCGGATGACAGGAAGTCGCACAGTTCAAACATCGAGTCACCAAAAACTCCCTGTTACGTGAGTTTTTAATTTCTGTAGGATCCAGAGTTAATGATTCGGAGTGACTCTAGTCTGTGTGTGTGCTTGTAGTATTGTGTTTGTGCAACCATGAACTGTTCGTGGATCTCTCCAGTCCAGACCTCCTTCCTCTCTGCACAAAACGTGTTGTCAGGTCCGTCCTGAAACCATGCATGCAGTGTTCAGGTGAGTTCCTCCCACATCTGTCGATGGCTCATCTTAAAGAGCAGTGTCACTTTTGGAGACAAATGTTTAAATTGTCATCCTCTGGAGTCTGGGTGGACACTTGTCCTCATCTGTTTGTGGGTCAAAGAAGAAGAGACAATCTGTGATTTTCCTGTAGCCGCGGTGGCATCAGGTGGCCGAGGCTGCACAGAGGACGGAGTCTAAAGTCACTTCCTGGAGTGAAGGTTTTCCTGGAACTTGGTGCTTATGTATCGAATGTGGAAGCCCTTCTTACTGATGGTGTCGTCGCTGTGGAACCGGATCAGCAGAGTGTCTCTTGGCGAATAAATCCCCTCTCTGGGCTGAGGATGGGAACACAAAGAAACATATACATTTTTACAGATTAAACTGGTGATTTTACATTGTGTAACCTCTTTCTAATCAAAAATGCGAGCTTCTATTTTTTTCATTAAATGCATGCAATTTTAGGTTCAACACTAAGTTTTTCCGCTGTAGTTAAAAGAGAAAAATCACAATCTTGTTAATGCATTTTAATAGATTTTAAATATTGTTTCTAAGCTACTATTTATTTTAGTCTGTAAATGATTTTCTAACATAAATGAGAAAACTTGTAGACTAGCCTTGAGAAATTACCTCTTGAACTTGTCCACATTTTGTCACATCACAACCACAAACTTCAAAACTTAAATGTTTTGATTAGAATAGAATAGAATAGAATAGAATAGAATAGAATAGAATAGAATAGCCTTTTATTGTCCCGCTGAGGGAAAATTCGTCCCGCTGAGGGAAAATTCAGGTGTCACAGCAGCATCAGTACAGAGGTTCACATGCTAGTTACTTTACAAACTATGGACAATGCACAAAAAATGAAATTAACACTGACTAGCAATGATACGACTAATAATAATAATAAAAAAATAATATAAAAAATTGTGCAAGAATTTAAAAAAAAGGTGGGATTAAACCATCCCACTGCAGCTCTGACTGGATGTTTCCGGTCGTCGTCCTGCAGGAAGGTGAACCTCTGCTCTGAGCTCAAGTGTTTTGCAGCTTTTAATGTGTTTTCTTCCAGGATCGTTTTAGGTCCATCTATCTTCTCATCTGCTCTGATAAACGGGCCTATCTCAGCTGAAGAAATGCATCCCCACAGCATGATGCTGCCACCACCGTGTTTGACAGCAGTGGAGGTGTGTTCGGAGTCAACACATAACATTTTGTATAAAGTTCTATTTTGGTCTTATCTGATCAGATCACCTTCTTCCACGTTTGCTGTTTCTCCTGCACGGCTTTTGGCAAACTGCAAATTGGACAATTTTTCTATTTGCCACTTTTCCATAATGACAAAATTTGTGGAGTTAACAACTAATAGTTGTCCTCTGGACAAACACCTGAATTGTATCTCTGCAGCTCTTTCAGAGTTCCCTTGGGCTTCTCAGATAAATGCTCTCCTTGTTTAGGCAGACTGTTGTGTCTTGGTAGGTTTTCAGTCATACCAAACTCTATTTTTAGATGACTGATTGAACACTTTTCTGTGAATTGTTCAAAGCTTTGGGGTACTGTTTTATAAATTCAGCCTGCTTTGAACTGCTTAACAGCTTTACCCCTAACCTGGCATGTTCCTTGGTTTTATGATGCTTGATCACTGATGTTCAATAACAAACCCTGAGGCCTTCACAGAACAGCTGGATTTCTATTGAAAATAACAAATAAATAGTAACAAATAGTCAAAATGGTAAAAGAGGTTGAAGGGTTAGAGTGTTGCAACACATCTGTATATCTGTCCTTGAAAGAAATCCCATTAACTCCACACACGACCACTTACTTACCCCAGAGCCACAGAAGCGACCCAGCCGGTGTGAGTTTGCGTCGTATCCATTATACAGCTCGATGTAGTCATAACCGCAGTCGGCTTCTTCCTCCACCTCAAACGTTACGAAGCTGAGCTCAATGCCATAGCCCTGTTCAGTGGTCAGCAGCCACTCGCAGTCCGTGTGACCCGGGTAATTATTATCTCCAAACTGGGCATGGGAGTAAAGGTTTTTCTGACGGGCTTCTGCTTTCAGACGACCTCCACACTCTTAAAAAGAAAATAAATAAAATTACTGTGATGTGCAAATTGGTACAAAAGTCTCAAGAATTATTAGGATTTGCTGACATAATGAACCAATTTCTTGACTTATTTTCATCATGCACTAACTGTAATGAACCACTAGAGGGAGATGTTACCCTTAAAAATATCTGAACGCGGGAACTTTAAATTGGTCACTGAGTGATGAATGCTTTATCTTAAACCCACAGACTCACACAGTGATGCAGATTTAAATGAGCAAATGTTGACGTGTGTTTCTACATGGGTACAGACCTGTGGAATGCGAAGCTTGGAAACCCTTTCGTTGTACGGAGGCGTCAGAAATGAAGCGGAGGTACATCTTGTTCCCCGTGGAGACCAGAGGCTCTGGGATCTTACTGCCGCACAGTCGGCTCAAGATGGCTGCTGTGTCGCTGTCCCCGTCGAAGGCCTCCAGGTGGTCGTACGCACACTCCTGATGCTGCTCGATCTCAAACTCGTTGAAGGCCTGCAGAGGTGAAGCTTGATGAGTTTTCAGACAATTCAGAATTATAAGACATTATTTATTTATTTATTTTTGGTGGAGGTGCCTTTTGAACGTATGTTTTTTTTTTTTGTTTTAATCTTATGGACCTTGTAAAACCAGAGCAAGCTGTAGCAATAATTCACTTAAAGAAAAATGGGGGTACCCTAAGGTCTGCCTTGTCTTAAAGTTGATCTAAATTTGGGAGATGCTCAAGCAAAGCATACTCAAAGAAAATAGGATTAGGATTCATAAAGAGTGTTTGTTGCATCGTTTTGTTAAATTATGTCTTCAAACACATTTATCTCGTGTCTCTGACTGATAAACATTTGCAAACGAGTGAACCCCACTCAGGGCTCCCCACTACTTATCAGCTTTTGCAAACCCTAAAATGGTTGCAACTTAATATTGAACTGAAAATGAGTGCCAACACGCACTCAAAGAGCTAACAAAGATCTCGTGTACAAAATAAAAAACATCATAAGTTTTGAGCTTTATCACAAGGAATGCTTTAATTTATGTGTGTTTTGTTTTTTTTGTAATAGATTTTGGTTAAAATGTGTCACAAACATGTCATAGGAAATAAGGAAATCCATCTAGTTTGTGGAAGACAAGAGGCATAATAGGTGTCATTTTAAAACTCTTGAGCTCACAGGATATAAAAATTGAGAATAAGTTATTTTTTATTTTATTTACTTTAGATTTGTACTTCTGACTATCTTTGCTGCCAGATTGTGTACTGTTTACTGACTTTCAATTGCAACATATCACAGTATCACCAGTCAAACGAACGTGAGTTGCGTCCAAACACCTTGCAGGCCTATCAGCTCTCTGATTGTTAGCATCACATCATCACGAACGCCACTGAGACCTTCTTGAACAAGCAGCCGGTGGGAGAAGAAAGGCTGGTGTGATGATGTCGTTATAACGAGGGGAAAGTGATTATATGGTTGTGATGGTTTCCAGATGTTTCTGCATATTGGATGAGTTGAGTTGCTTACTGCAGCTAGAAGACGTTGGTGTTAAACATGAACGGCAACAGAATGACCCCTCACTTCTATCATCAGATATCTGGTGTTAAATCAGTCCTGTGATGTCATTTCACACACACATAAACACTCGCATCTTTGTGAGGACACCTCAGTTTAACACTTCCTGTAAGTTTAACTTAACCGATTCTTATGTGAAACATAAAACTCAAATTTTAAAAAGTCAAAATAGAACAATTCATTGTGAATGTATGCTACTTTTGGACAAGTTTACATTATAAAGCAGTGGGGAAAGAAAACCAACTCTCAACTCTTTGAGAAGGTCGTCAGTTTGTGTGACTGCACATCTTTTGTTTTACATCTTTGCTAGTTCTGGACTACAACTCAAACCTAACATGTGCAGGAGCATCTAGCAAAACGTCAGCCAAATAATTTACTTAATTTCTGGTCATTTAAATCACAATAAAAAAAAGGAAGAAAAATAAGAAACAAGCATACTTCTGGTCAACTTGCAGTTAATAATTAACCCTAAACTTCTACTTTGTAATTTTTTTTATTAGAGAATTGATTTTTGATTGTCTGCACTTGTCATAAAAAAGAAAAAGACTCGGTCTAAATGTTTTATATAAATGATAAGAGCATTTTTCTCCCTTACATACCTCCTAACATTTATTGACTTCTTTCTATTTTCCCAAGACTTCTCTCAGTAACCTTTTTCTGATCTAAGCTTAGTGATCACATATTTCCACACTGACTCTGATAAATTTGTGATTATGATGAAAAAAAATTAGCATACCGGTAAATTAAATTCCAATTATTTATAGCCTTTAAGTATTTAGAAGTGTAATTTTTTGTATCTCTGCATCACACGAGCGTGCAAACTTTCGTTTCTTTTTGCCTCAAAGCCAAACACCATCTGTCTGATCTAATTAACCATCATCTCCCTTGCCTTTATACCTCTGTGAGGTCTTTTTTTTATAGAGTCCATCCACTTCAGCTTCTGACAATGACTTCTTTAGCCTTAAATCTCATTAATATAATGCGCATGTCACAATATTCTCTCGAAACAAAACATATAAAACTGAGTTGATCCAACAGAAGCAGAACTGAGCACCAGGAAGTTAGAGAATCCCTTACTTATAAAGCAGAAAGGAAGTCTCTTCGTCAATGCATAAAAGTGCAGCAGATCAGAAAACTGTGTGTAACACACACACAGATGCAAGGACACAGATGGTTGTTGCACAAGCCCTCTTATTAACACATGAGAACACGCTTGCAGTTAACCCAAATATCCAAACATGCCATGTCTCCTGTGTTCACATTTGAGTTTCAGAAATGGAACACGAAAAGACAAATCTTTACGTAAAAACAAGGAAGAGCAGCTTGAAGGTTTTACATTCAAAGTTCACACAAACGCAGGCAGTCGCTTCGCTTGATCGCTCACTTACAATCTTAACCCTGTGTCCCGGCACGGCAGTGATGTCCCAGGTGCACTCCTTCCGGCTGGGATACTTGTCAGGCCAGTTGGGGCTGCTCAAGGTCCCACTGGGGCTGTGGATCTTATGCTCACATTCAGCTGAAACACAAAAGCACACACACACATATAGGAAGGAAGTGAAAACCGTGGCTGTACAGGAAAAGGTCAGAGGAAATGGAAAGGAAACAGGAAGGAGAGAAACAAGAGAACCAAAGGAGACGGAGAGGATTTCAAAGAAGCACGTTCTGTTCACAAGTTCAGAGGGGCTTTCACTGGAAAAGTGTGCACACATGCGCCGGACTTCTGCACCGCTTTACACTTCTGTATTATTACAGATTACACTGAAAAACCAGAAGACTAAACCAAAATACTAATAAACAAAAACAGATAAACTAAAAAAACATACATATACAGGCCTATTAATTGTTTAAAAATTGTACTAAAAATGGTTTTGCTGGTCTGACTCACATACTTTGAAGCTTGATAAAGTAGTGTTTAAGTCAGAACAATGATTATTTTTCATCAAAAGAAAATCCAGTATTTATTATACTATATTCCTGCATGATATATTTTGCAGCAGCATTATAAAACAATATTGTTTCATTCTGGAGCACCAAAAATCTTGATGCAGCATAAAAAGATCTCTGATGTCTAAATGCTGCATTAAATGTAATAGTTGGTTTGTCCTAATTAAAAAAAGTGAAGATGATCATTGAAGGTTAAGTGCTAAAAACAGTATTACAAATTGTTAAAATATTTGGCAAGCAATCTGATAATGAAGCTTGCAAGATGTTGGAGTAAAACATCAGATTGTTTGTATCTTTCATTTCTTCAGCATCTGCAGGCTTGAATATGATTCTAAACAAAATCTTAGGGTTATACTAATTTTAGAGCTTCTATCTTTGTGTTAATATTTGGTTTTTAAAATATGGACATTTTGGTACACCTGTGTACTTGGAGGGCCAGAAGAAGCTGAGAAATTATGCTTTTTAATATTCTGACACCCTAAAAATCTGAAGAAAACATCTAAAGTTATTATTCTTTGTTATCTTTATGATCTGACCTGATTTCCTTCAATAATTTGAATATTTTTTATCAGAAAAACAAAAATTCTGCTTAGTTCAGTTGTTGAAAGTGTAGCATTTTCCTGCATTCTGTATAAATAATAATTTCTGATTAGATTTCACTTGCTCCTATGAAAACGGCTCAGGAAGGAAGAAAAACCCCACTTTGACTTCAGACTATTTCTAAAGATTTTTGCATGGAACTTCCTTTGTGGCTTGAATTAACATCTCTCATGCAAACCCCCACCAGACGTCCTGACGCCTTACTTTTAATAGATAAGAATTGCCACATTCCTGTTCCGAACCCCACAAGTTCTGTTGCTTCCATCCCCCAATAAGCACGGGACTGTCTGTTGGTTCCTCTTCAAAGGGATCATAAATGCCTTTAACTAGACTCTTCAGTGACTGAGAACAAAGGACCTACATTCTTCATTAAATGTGAAAAAAGGAGAAAAGATAAAGGAATGTGTATCTAATGTTTTCTGTCTTATTGCAAAGAATGTCATCTAAACCATTTTTCTTACAGAAAGAACTAAAAAGACCATAAAGGATCTACTAAGGCTACGTTCACACTGCAGGTCTTAATGCTCAGTTCCGATTTTTTGAAAAAATCCAATCTTTTTGTGTGAACGTTCACATTACATTTTAAATGTGACCTGCATCAGACCCTTGTGTGAACGCTACACAGCACTGATGTGACACGCATGCGCAGTAAAAGACGYGACGTCTCATCAGCCGGCTTGTTTGTTTACAGAGCTAGCATGGATGCTACATTTTGCGCATCGAATCTGAAGTTGTTGTTTAATCAGAGCCGATTAAATAATTATCTGACMTSYTKYTT